CGCTTGCCCGTATTTTTTTTCACGTTTAAGTGCAACCTATGAAGAGCAGAATAGGAAGAAGCAGCTGCAGAGTGCTTAAAAATTTCTAACGGTAAATAGTGAGCTAATTTCAAAGTGCAAAAAGTGCAAAGTGCGAAGATTTCTGCCAGTGTGTATATATATACATATATATATATTTTTTTGCATTTCCTTTTCCTTTAACATTTGCACACATGCATACGCATGTACGACATACATACATCCATACATATATTGAATTGTTTGTGTTTTCGCAAACTAATTTGTTCGTTTTCATTTTTATTTATAGCTTTTAAAGTGTTTGCTCTGTTTGTTTGCCTTTTCTTCCTTTCTTTCTATTTTTGTTTGGTTTTTAATCCTGTATTTCATTATGTCTTTATTAGGGCAATTTTCAATATTATCTTTTAATATGTGCGAGTGTATTGCATTTGTGTTGGCTGACGTCGGTTGGAACTCGACTCTTTTTAGTTAATTTATTGTTGTATTCTTGTTTTAAGTGGTTTTCTTTTTCCTAAAAAGCCGTTCTTTAGTTTTTTTCTGGTGTCTTGCCTTTTAGCTTTGTTTTTAGCATGTGCCCCTTTTTGTGGTGAGTAAGAAAGAGAGAGAGAGGGTGGGGTTTGGTTTGTCTTGCTTATTCTTTCTTTTTTTTCGTTTGTGGTTATTTTATTTTATTTTTTCTCCACACCATCTGCCATGCACACAAAAATAACAACAAAATGTACAGCGGAGCGCGTGCTTTTTTGTACCGTCTCGCATCACATTCCATTCGCTCTCGCACACACTCACACACACACACACACACATACGCAGCCTAAACTTGAAAAAAGCCAAACGAGAAGAAATGAAAGAAGCGACGTGACCAGGCAAGGCTCTCTTCGCCGCTTCTCTTAGTATACTTCACTCTCTTATTTGGTGGAGGGTGCCCGCTCTTTGCCGCCTAGCCACTTTGTACGCTCCGCTTGCCCAATTGTTTTCTCATTTCATTTGTTTAGCCGTAGCGTGCGCGTCGCAGTCGCCGTCGCCGCAGACGTAGACGTCACACTCTAAAAGTTGCGTCAGTTAAGAAAAATATAAATATATTTATATATACATTATTAAATTGAAAAAGTCAAAAGGAACTCGAAACCAAGTTTGTTTTTTGTTTAAGTTTTGCATCGAAAAGTGTGTTGTAAAAGTTTTAAAGCAAAGTAGGTGAAGAAAAAAACCGAAAACAACAACAGCAAAAGCCCAAATAAACCAAAAAATGTTGCATTTGTATTAGTGCTCTCGCGACAGCGCTTTATTTGTATTCGAATTGAATGGATGTGTGCGTGTTTGAGCTTTTTTCTAGGTGTATTTAAATATATTTTTAAATGTATTTAAATATGATTTTGTATAACAAGCAAATTAAAAGTATAGGTATTTGTCTCCCTTATTGATTTGTTTTTATGTTTAAATTGCAAAATGTTTATGAACTTTGTTTTTACTGTGCCATAAATATACAAATTAATAAACCTCTGCAACAAATTAAGAAAAACGCACTCACACTCATTTTCACCGCAGCAAATTTTCCTGTTTCATATTTTTAGCTATTTTTATACAGCAAAAAATAAAAAAATCAAAGAGTTCTTGCTTTATTTTGCACGCTTCATCACTCTTCATTTCAAAATTAGCAACAATAACACATGACGAAAACGGGCAGAAAGGAAAAGAAATGCAAAGAAAGTGCGTGATAAAACACTCAAAGAGAAATGCTCAGACAACGAGAGGGTGAGAGAGAGAGAAAGAGTAAAAGGCAGAAGAGCTTCAGAGAATCAGAACTTTTTTGTTTTTTGTTTTGTGCTTATTATATCCTTGGAAGGGTATTATAATTTATGTCAGGAGCTTGCAGCGTAGTGAAGAAGTCATTTCCTTCTTCCAAATTGAAAATAATTCGTTTTTAATTTCGTTTTTATTAAATTACTGTGCAAATAGTCTAATTTTTAACTGCAAGGGTGTATTTTGATTTGATTTAAATACTCAAATTCACTTTCTACTTTCTTAAAATATTATTAGAAATTTTTAAAGATATTATTCGAGTGTTTTTTATTTACTTTTTGTGTGGATTATTTACATTTGTGCCTGGATTGTGATAATTAAGAAAATAATTGCAAAATTCAATATACCCTATTTGCAAGGGTGTAGAAAGGATAAGGGATCGAGTTGCACAAAGTGTTTCTCAGATTACCAATCTCTTTTTCTTTACCAGCTTCTTCTCCCGTTATCCATCTTATGCTCTCATCTCTCTTATGGATTAAATCAACCGCAAAATGTTCCATTAATTTGTGACCATTCATATTTATCCTTATTCTCTTTTCCATTTCTCTCTTTTTCAATTACCTTTTTACCCTTTGCAACTTTTGGATTTTGACTTTTCAGTTTGGGTTTGAGGAACTGAGAGTTTTATGTAATTATTATTTACGGGGAATCCCTTACAGCAACCCCTCCTTGAGGAATAATGTACCGGTTTATGTCCCTTTCTAGAAGGGGAACTTTCCCTTAAAAGTAAAGGATATTCGATACGATATATAAGTGTTCATAAAGATTTGACTTTAGGCATAAAAGTAACTATTTTATGGTTATTTTAAACCATTTCTAAACTGGATTAAAATTAAAATAATATCAAAAACATGAAATATATTAATATATTCTTGTGTTTGTGATTTCATTCACACGCTGCCTAAGAAAGATTGACAATGGGATGTATAGGGTATTTTGGGAAATTTGATGACGACCCTTGGCTGCCGACTTTTCGGCCCTCGACCCTTGTGGGGTGGATTTTCCTCTGCCCCAGCCCACCCCTCTCTCTCTCTCTCACTCGTCAGCTCCTTGGTCCTTTTGTTGTTATTCTTTTTCGGGTCGATTTCTGCTTTAGGTTTCAGGTACAACAATATAAAATTTCAGTCGTGTGTTCTCTTGATTCCAAAATTCCATAAAGCTGGTGTGAGATTGCGTGGGTGTCTCACAGTCAATTACTGCGATTTTTGTTATGCTTTGTCGTGCCATTTAAAGCGATTTCGATTTGAATATTTAATAGAATTTGCCACGCGCCGAAGGTTTTCTCTGCCCATTTTACCCATCTCTTCAAGTTCTCATCCTGCTTTTCTCACAAATTCTCTTTTATCGTGTTTAGCTCACATCTTAGTTGACGATGAACATGTCACCCCGTGAAAAAAAGGAAAACAAATAACAAGAAACAAGAGACAGCAGCTTTAAATACCCTTTTAAAAAAATTCGAAATTCAAGTAATGTTTTGTTGTGAAAACTTTTGTATTAGTTGTGGAAATGAAAATAAAATGAAACTAAAATGAAGCGGACGTTTATAACCCCTGCTTTTTGCATTATAACTAAACTTAAAATATTTGCATTCTGTGAATCAATATTTATCAATATTTTTATAAGACAATTTTGTCGAAAAAACAAAATTTTAAAAACTCATAACTTGGCCAAAACAGCATTAATTTTAATTCGGAAAGCTGTCCTATGCTAGTTTTTATTAGTTTAATAAATCTGCATACTCCATTTAGGATTTAATAAAATTTAAAATTTTGATACATTTTTTGACAATTTTAACGATGAAACCCCTTATAAAATTTTGAAAAAATTTCGAAATTTTTATTTTTTACCAAACATGCCTAGATCGATTCGGCTGTTAATGCTGATCAAGAATATATATGATTTATAGGGTCGGAAATGACTCCTTCATATAATTACAAGCTTCTGACTAAAATGAAAGGGTATTAAATAACCCAACAATTTTACGAACATGTATAGTCCTGGTTATTTGTTAGGGTGTAAAGGAAGTGTGGGTGGCGTAGGGGAGAGAGTGTGGCCGTCAGAAGCGTGTTTAATGTCAAGGCAGCGTCATTCGAAGGACTTTTGCGTATCCAAAGCTCTTCACTCTCTCCCTCACTCTCTTTTATGTTTTTTTCTTTTTTTCGCTCACAACTTTTGTTGAGCGCAAAAGAGGAAGTGGGAGAGGAGAGCAGCTGTTGGGTAAATAACGCCGGCTGCAACTTTTTTGTCTCTCTTTTGAGAGCGCGACCCTTGACCTTTTCATATGAATTATGACAACAACAATGGCACAATGTAACATTACTTTTCTCTTAATACCGCTTGCCGCTCAGTTGAATGCCCCACACACACACTCACACTCACTCGCACACACATAAGGAACGAGCAGCTGATGGCAAAGCAAAGAAGAAATGAGGGAAAACAGGAGAAGGCGATCAAGTGGTCCGCTTGGGGAAAGGTTGTGAGAGAGAGAGAGAGAGGGGGGGGGGGTGTCTGTGGCGAAGAAAGGCAGAGATGAGGGATGGAGAACAAGGCTGCGCGCACGCGCCAATCTTTCATTATTTCCTTTTTCACTTGAGTTTATGTTTATTATATATATATATATATTTCTCTGCTGGCCCTGCTCTTTCTTCCGCTCTCTTTTGTGTGCAACTTGTTGGTTGGGGAGCTCCTGCCCTCAGTCAGTCTTTTCCTCTCTCTCTTTCTGTTTGTTTTTTCTTTGCCTTAGCCTTTTGTTTTTGTTTTTTTGTTGTTGTTTTTTTCTTTCGCTCTTTATTTTTTGTTGCCACGCAGCTGTGCACAATTAGCGCAAACGCAACAGCTGCTGGTTGCCGACGTCGACGCAAACTGCTATGCCACTGATGCTTCCTCTGCTCTGCCAACAATATAATTAAATAGTTTCCAACTTATTACCGATTATAGATGTCAAACTATATTATTAATGTACGTGTAAATATAACAAAAAAAAATTTTTTCTTAGAAAGATTACAATTTATGAGCACAAAAACGATTAGGTTCGTTTCGAATATAGTTTACTATTTTATTTGGAAATGCATTTCGGAACAATTCAACTTTATTATAATAATGTAGTTTATACCGATTTTATAGAATTTTTCTTAGTTATCGAAAAAGTAACATAACTAACATTGTCTTGTTTTCTATACTTTCAGCTTTAAGCCACAAGTAATCGCAACAATTTAAACATTCTAATATAAAAAAAAACACCACAAAACATAAGCAAAAATAATAAAAAAGCAGAAACCACCGAAATTAATAGTGAAAAATTATAATATTAAAAAGAACAAAACTCCAAAACGTCAAACATAAATCAAACAACAAACACAACCTGCATATGTTTCAAAAACAAAATCATCTTAATATTCAACAACAAAATTCTGTCAATAAAACACTCGTAAAAGCAGGCACCATTTTCAACAACAAAAATTTCAACAACATTAAACAATTTTGAGAAAATAAACTATTTTACAAAAACTAAATTCAATATTAAGGACCAGTTTCAACAATACAACAACAACAACAACAACAACAACAATTTCAACAATAAAGTGCCGCGAACTAAATTATCTCACCGCTATTCTCTCTTCTCTCTCTACAATTCGCGAGGTTAGGCGTTATCCTGCGTGTGTCGGGATTTGTTCGTTGGTGTAAATTAATTGTTTTTTTTTTTTAATATTTCGTTTACGTGTTCGTTACCGCCGTGTCCCGCGTGTGTATCCGTGTGTGCGTCGTGTGTGAGAGAAAGAGTGAGCGCACATTGTTTTTTTGTCTGTGTATGCTATGTCACGGGGTATAGGCATTAATGCGCTCCTCGAGGCGGCTGAATTTCTAGCGCAGAATGAGAAGCTCCCGCAGGCGGGAGGCGGTCCCATCGGACTGGGCGTGGCCATTCCCACCTCCCACCAACACCATCATCACCAGCTGCAACAGCACTATAAGAGCAACTCCCTCAATAACAACAACAACAACAATAACAACACCAATACCAACAACAACAATAGCAATCAGCACAATAGGAACAATAGCAGTAACGGAATTATTGCATCGCCGCCATTTACGAACGGAAATGGTAACGGTATCGGAATCCATAACGTGAACTCCAACGTAAACGTTAACGTCAACGGCCTGAGTAACGGTAACGGGCACGGGCATGGGCACAATAACACCAACAACAGCCCGCGCAGTCAATTAACCCACGATTACGATTACGTCGGCAGCGCTGCCGCCAACGGACACAGCGAAGGTCGCGCCCCCATCTCGGGTAAGTTAAAATTTCATCCTTTAACCCTCTACGCACTTTCAACCATTCTCCAAAGAGTTGATATTCCAGGACATCGTATGAACTCATTTGTTTAAAATAAATAAAGATCTACAGGATCTTTAGAGATTTGATATAATTTATTAACGTAAATAATATTTATACCATGTTTAATGCTTTTAAACTACATATTTTCAAAATTTATATTTATATATCTTACGAAAAACCTGGAAAATCAATTCTATCGATATTCTTCTTTGGCATAAAACCCCTAACAAGACCATTAAACATTGCCATCACTCATACAACCATATCACATTGAAATACAAGACCCAGGGCAAGTTGTTGCTAATCAACTCCCCGCTGCTGTAATGCAAAACATTAGTTGCTGATTGTGCAGGTGATCTATCTTTCCAAACCATTTTCCCAGAATGGGTTAAATTCCTCTATTATTATTGCTTAACTCTGATAAAGTCTGACTAAAGTTCCTTCAGTTTGATTGATAAACAAATATTGCAGATAAAGTCTTGCTGCTTAAAAATTTATTGTTTACGATAACTAGATAGAGAAAATATTTAAAAAATGCTCAAGGCTTAGGTTTCTCAATTTGTTTAGGATATCAATAAATATTCAGAATGTGATTCACTGAATTCTTTTGTTAATATCCAGTATATAAACAAAAGTTATTGCATTTTTAAGTTTATACAATTGTTTTCTCAATTTTGCAACTGACACTTTTGTCGCCTTGTCTAAAACGAAACTGTTGCTGCTCTCCTTTGGCTTTTGCTTTTCCATTTGCTTTGCTGCATTTAAACTTGTTTTGACCTTGTTTGCGACGCCGTCGTCGACGTCGACTGCACTTTGCGTGGGCGCGCACTGTACAAAAAAAAAAAGAAAAAGAAAAAATATAGCAAGAAAAAATTAAATAAAATAAAATAAAGACTCAAAGAGCAACAACACGAACAGCAATCTCTCTCGTCTCCTCTCTCCCTCTGTCCCTGTCTCTGTGTCTCTCGCTATCTCTTTCTTTGGCACAGGTTGCAAGCGTGGCAAGCAGCAGGTACTGTTATATTTTTAGCGCGCTGTTTGCTTTGCCGTCGACGTCAGCTGCGCTGTTGACGTCGCTGCCCAATTGGCATGTGCTAAATTGTCATGCGGCTTTTGTTGTTGTTGTTTCTGTTGTTGGTTTTGTTGCCTTGACTATTGGATAAAGAAAATGCAACGTAAAAAAACCACTAGGAAAATTATAAATATAAATTTAAATTTAAATGTAAATAATACATTTGTGGGAATTTTCAAAGAAATATTCTTTAAAAATATTTGGATTATATCAATAATAATTAAATATAAATAATTGCTTGATATACTTTTAAAATTGAATTGAAGAAATCTAAATATTTTATTTTCCAAATTGTAATTAGAGAGGTTCCACTGTATTTTGTATTTTGTTTTCGTTTGCTTTTTGCTGTGCTCATTTCGGTTGTTTGGTTTTTCGTTTATTTTTTTGTCAACATACTACGACCTTTTTTTCTCCACCGTGGCTTTAAATTTTGTTTTATTTTTATTTTATTTTTTTTTTGAGTGCTTCTTTTTCACTTTTGTCATCGCATCATTCGTATTTTTTCGCACGTACGCTTGTACTTGTTGCTGTTGTTGTTGTTTGGGGTCACGTCATGTTGAGCTCCCTCTCTTTCCCTCTTACTGTTTCGCACAAATTAGTCATAACTTGGCTAGGGAGAGAGAGGGTGAGAGAGAGTAGCAACCCACGTGAGAGAGAGAGAGTGAGAAATCTCTGTCTCTTCCTCTCTTAACATATTTTTTGCTAAGCAAAACTGGGCTTTTCTTGACTCTTTAGTTACGCTCCCTTGTTGCGCTCTTCCCTGAATTCTCTTGCGGCCGCTTGCGGCTCTCTTAACTCGGCGCTGGTGTAAAGCAAAGTCAATGAACTTTGTACGCATTTTTGTTGGCCTGTTTTTTTCCCCTTCTTGTATTTGTTGCTATTGTTGTTGTTGTTATTTTTCGTGCCCATTTCATATTACTTGGCCTTTCTTTTATGTTTTATGTTTGTCTTCTTCGCACTTAAAAATTGTAATTTATTTTGTTGTATTGTATGTTGCATGTGTATTATTTGGACAGCTGCACATATACATATATAAAAATATACTTTGTTTTTGTTTCCTCTAGTTGCTTTTATTTTCCTGGTTTCCCTATATTTCTTGATAATTTATTTTTTTTTTTTGAGCTTAATAAATAAAATAAAAAATGATAGGTTTCTATTTTTGTGGCCCAAAAGTCCCGGGAAATTTATATTGTTTATTTTTTTCCTGATAAATAGCTGAATGAATGAATGCTTCAATTAAAAAATTTAAGTAGATATTACACCAAGAATATCTTAAAGGTTTTACTGGAAATGTTTTCAATATATAAAGCAACGAGGTTTTAAAATTGCAAATATATTAAAAATTTATGAGTATAAAGATAGTTTATAAAGAAAATTTAAACCTAAAGCAACTCTCTGAAGATATATATTAAATCTCTTTCATTTTTGCCTTCATCCCCTTCACTGTAATATGCAAAACGCAATTTTCTGTCGCTGTTTTCCATCAGATTTGCATTATCACAAAAATGCAAATTTCCTCTTTTGATTTTTCGCCATTTCCCTGGGACGGAACTCTCTTCATCTTGTTCTACTTCCTCAACATACTACTCGCACTCATTTCCCGGGGAAAACTTCAATTTGCCGCCATTTTTTTTTCGATGGCGACGTCGCAACCACACGGCAGCAATATCAACATCAACATTCACCATCTTCATCATCATTACCATCAAGTCATTGCTGCTGACTTGCTTAAACATTTAAGTGCATTGCAAAGTTTACTGCAGCATACTTGAACATTTTGTGGTCCTGCTTAACCTCTTGTCTTCTTAAAAAAAAGAAGGACCACTCCATTACTGTGGTAACCCAGTCTTATTATTTTCTTATTTTTTATTATTAATATATCCTTGGGAAATATTCATTAAATTATGTAGTGGGTTTATTAACATGAAAGGCATGCTAAAGAATAAGGACACTTTCAAATCAAATTAAGTCAAAGAGAAATATTTCTACTGTATTGGTATTCAGTTTTGAACAATTTCAATTAGTTATTAACTAAATGTACACCTGTTTTATAAACAACAGATAAGGAAACGCTAAATAAATGGCTTGAAATATATGTAATGTATATAGGGCTTTTATATATATTTCTTTTATATATATTCCTATATATATAAACAGCTATAAATATTTATAAAGTATTCTCATTTTTTAACTGTATACCATGTGGTTTATGTGTGTGCGAGTCTGATAACGTGGAATGGATGGTGGGGCGTGTGTCTTGTGTTGCTGTTGCAGCCACGTGCGCTTTCGTCACGTGGCAAACCGATGCGATGGCGAAAGCAATGTGGGCGTTAACAGGGAAAGAATGAGGTGAGAAAAGAGGAGAGAGAGGAGAAATACATGTGGCTGGAAACCAAAAGAGGGAAGAGTGAAGTCTGGGAGTGTTAGGTAGAATCCCCCCTAAAAAGTATGCTATATAAATGCGAGTGAGAAAGGACAAGTACATTTCGCAAAAAAAAAATCTTTTACCTTTATACTAGATGGATAAATAAGAGGCTCTTTGAGCTCTCTAGAGGCTTCTTTCTCCTTTATTTTTTTATTTATTAAGAAATTTACATGTTTCAGTATTTTGTAGGCCATTCGGTAAACCAAATAAATACAAAACCACAGAAATTTGGCATTAGGTAGAGGTAAAAAATGCTTCAATGCTTCAATCTTGAGCTTTCCACAACAAATCATAAAGATTATTCGCTCTGTCTGGCTTATGATTGCTAATTTGTTGACTATTTATTTATTTTTATTTTTATTTGTATTATTATTTTTATCTCTGACTGCCCTGTTGCCCTAACCCTTATATGTCATGCCTATGACTGCTTTATTCTATATATTCTACATATCCTATATATCCTATACCTTCTATAATTCATATAATATGTAAAAACTTTCACCAACTATGCTACTTTTTGAGAACTGAAAATAAGTATAACTAGAGCTGGTATTATTATCTAATAATTAATTAATTTAATAGACAACCCACCTTGTATAATCAAAATCTGGTTTTATTTCTCGATTATTATTTATTATTTATAGTATTTCTTTCTTTCTGGATTTATTTCTCTATTATTATTTATATTTATAGTATTTATTTATTTGAAAACCCTAAGAGTCTGAAACACCCTCAAAGTTATCTTGAAATCACACCTATTTCGAATGAAATACAATGCTTTAGTTCTCTATATAAAATATTTGCTTACATCAAGAAATTCTTGATGCACAAAGTTTACTGTTTTGATAAGTCTGCCATTCGATATTCTCTTTCGCCAAATGACCTACTTCAATACGATACAAACTGATGTGTATATGAAGATATAATATTACTAGGCTTTGACAAACAATATATATACATTGATTAAGTTGGTGCCTAATGAATTTTCTCCCTAAAAAACTACACTGTAATAGATATAGGTTCAAGTATTTATTTTGATAATTTATGTTTTTAGTTTTTAGTTGGTATATGTTTATAATTTATAACTTAAGTGGGCATGCTCTTTCCGTTATATTTTATTTTATTTATTTTTCTTTTAAACATCAGAGAGTCGACAAAAATGCTTTTGTTATCTAGCTCAGTATAGTTGCAAGGCAAATAGTTTTATTATTTATTGTTAAGATGTAAAAATAGTTTTGTAAAATCTTGGAAATTGTCTCTCAAGCTAGATATTAGTTATTATTTAAATAATTTATATGTATGTGCTACAATTTCAATCAATCTTTGTGGGTTTTCTGGTCTGTCAAAATGCTATGCCACGTGTCTCAGCTTACCAATACCAAAAGAAAATACACCCACAACACCCAATACCCAGCACAAAACCGCCACCCATCCAGCAACACCCGCGGTGAAAAACTACCCCCATTTCACCTGAGAAACACAAATCCACCGCAAAATGGAGGCGAAACAAACAACAACAACCAATTGGCTTTATTTGCTAATGTTGCGAGTGCCGTTTGCTTGAAAGGTTTTGGAAAATTCACATTGGATTTTCCACGAACGCGTAATTAATTCACCACTAACACACACACACACGCATACGGCGATCGCTCACGCATTAATTAAATATATATATATATATATATATATATATATAATTGACCCACTAAAGGACCTTCATCGCGCACTGATTGTTGTTACTGTTGTTGTCTGTTGTATTAACCCAAATTCATTTGCATTCATTAAATTTCTATTGCTTTTTGTTTCTCTGTGTTCTTTGTGTTGATTTCTGACCTTAAGTTTTGGTCTTTATTTAGTTAACATTTGTACGTAAATGAGTGTTTTCTGGTATTTGTAATTGTTCCAGTTAAAACCAATTAATTACTCGAAGAAAATGATTAGGTTTACATTTTGATAAATGAAATAAAGTCCCTATTACCATAGGTGGCACAATAAAAGATTTTCCCATTTGGTTTAATTATTTTGGGATTTTTTAATAAAGTAATATTAATTTTGGAACATTTTATTCAATTCTTTTAAATTTAAATCAAGTAAACACTGAAATCGTAGAAGAGATAGATTTTTGAAACATATTTAGACTTGTTATTTTGTAAAACATTTTATATTTTGTGTGTAAAATAATATTTAAAGCTGTCATTAACACTTGGTTCATCATATAAATCATCAATAACATTTCACACTTCCTAAATTAATACAAGTAATAATAATACAAAATTGTTTTTTAATAATTTTGTTCAAATTGCTCTCTACGATTATGATTTTTGTTCTTAATTTGATGTTTCGTTTTTCTCCAATTCTCTTTACTTTATGGCTTAATTTTAGAGGATACTAATTCCTCAACAATCAACAACAGCAACCACAACAACACCCCACAAAAACAGCAACAGCAGTTAATTGCCAATGGCAGAACAACAACATCAGTAGCAGCAGCAGCAGCAGCAGCAACAAAATTGATGGGAATTTCAACAACGCCCTCCTCTACGTCCTCATCCTCTGCGCCCTCAAATAATTCACCCAACACCTTTACCCTCACACCCCAAACCGCAGCTGGCTCTGCCTTTCTGCTGCTGGCAACAGCAGCAACTGCAACTGCAACTGCAACAACAGCAGTTGCAACAGCAACAGCAGCAGCAGCGGCAGCGGCAGCAACAACATCTGCATCCTGCAAACCTGCCAAGCACAAATTGGGTCCCATCGAGGGGATTCGTAGCAATGATCTATTATTATCGGATGTCGAGGATGTCCTGCTGCTGAATCACAAAAGAATTTGCTTAGATGCACTCGGTGGCAAAACTGGGATACCCCTGACACCGCCGCCCATGTCCACGCGCAAAGTGACGGACACGAATCAACGGATCCGCTCGTACTCACTATCTCATAAAATTACAGCGCCCCTCAGCCAGGAGCATCAGCAATACCATCACAACATTCAGTCCCATATCGTGAGGGGTGCGTCAGGAGGCGGTGGTGGTGGTGGTGGTGCATCCTTGAATCCCACCTATCGCCAGCAGCTTAACAGCATGTTGGTGGCCACCGAATTAACTTCTGCCTCAGCGATACGCGTGGCTGGCGGCCCAGGAGCGTCATCGGGAGGAGGTGCTGGAGCGATGGCCTTAAATGTGGCATCATCTGCACCGACGCAAGGATCTCAGCTGATACAGGCACATAATCACACTCATACCGGCCACGGCGGACGCAGACGCACCACCAGTTCCAACAGCAACGGGTGAGTATTGCAAATTCTCTCTATAATATATATATTTAATCTACTTGAATTGTTCCTTTTGCAGAGCGGGCACTCGGGAGGTGCACAATAAGCTGGAGAAGGAGCGACGCGCTCAGCTTAAGGAGTGCTACGACCAACTCAAGAAGGAGCTGCCCATGAGGGAAGAGGATAAAAAGAAGACCTCCAACTTGACAATACTCGATTCGGCCAACGAATATGTCAGGGTTAGTGCTTACTTCCTTTTACTTCTCCTTTAAGCAAATGCTAATTATTTATATGATTATTTATTTAAATAGCAACTGTTGCAGCGGGAAAGCGAACAGGAAGCCGAAGTGGAGAAGCTGGCTAAGCAGAAAATTGAGCTGCAAAAGCAATTGAATAATTTGAGGAGGGACACGACGGCCGGTGATCAGCAGAAGCACCATAGCATTCCACAGGCCGAAAAAGGTATCTAAACAGGTGGCACCTGGAATTGTGCATACATCTGATGGCTAATCTCGGGTTTTCTGTCTCTTCCCCCGCACAGCCACAAGCACATCATCCGCGACAGCAACACCAGCAGCATCAGCATCAGCCAGTGGCCGCAATGGAACCACAATTCTGTTTGATGCCACCACCGCCTGTGGCGTCACTGGGGTAAGAAGATGGGGTCACACAATGGGGGAATATTAGCAGCTATGGAAATGATTGATATTCCCTTAAATTAATAATAATTGATAAACAATAAAATATTAATAATTTTCTTTTATTTCCTGTTAGCTAACAACTGTGATAAGCAAAACCAATGCCCCACCAGCAGCCAACAGCAGCAAACATAATACAGGAGGAGCCACAACCACACTTACTCCGGCCATGGGTATCATGACAATTAAGAATGGTAACAGCAGCATACTGGCAATCTCACCCACTGCTGTGGCAATCCAACAGCAACAGCAACAGCAGCCACAACACCATAGCAACAACAGCCCCGCGGGCAGTCCCAGCAGCAATGCATCCTCTGCAGTGGTTGCATCTGGAGCTGGTGTGGGTGCAACCACAATCATTCGTGGCTCACCCACACCTTCGACACCATCACCGTCGCCTAGCTCCTCATCCAGCGGTGTCTCATCATCGGCCTCATTTATGGGCTCCTCATCGTCTTCATCCTCATCATCATCGTCGTCGTCGTCGTCCAGCTCGTCATCCAATTCGTCGTCACCCACGCAACAGAATTCACCGGCAAGCACGGCCAATGCTCATTTAGTTGGAGCTCGAAGCGTTGGTCTTAAGTTCCATGGTACAAGTGTGGTTGGATCATCAGCAAATGGCTTGAATGGTGGCGCTTCCATTGTGGCCGCTACTGTGCCCACTGGTGGATCGGCGAATGGTGAGCTTAAATCTATGTATTCTTAAGAAATTATTTTAAAATATAAAATATATGATGCAAAGATATATTTTATACTATTATATTTCTAGAATCTTTTCGATTTTATTACAATATATGTTTGTTTTTCAAATAGGTTTCCATCAGGCGGACAAGGACAATCGGAATTACAATTTCCTCATGATTAGTGCTGGCGCAACGGCGCAGTGAACCAACAACAACAACAGCAACATTACAAACTGCAACAAACGCGCCTCTAAAACAATAACAAAAACAGCAACAAGAAAAAACTGAATTGTGTGCAACGGCTCCCACCTCGAGAAGAACCTAGAACATTCGCTGTTCTCGAACTCTTTAAATTTGTTTTTTTTTTTCTTAAAATGAAAACATTAACAACAACAACAAAAACAACTATTTTTCATACTTGGCACACATAAAACAAATAAATAAAAAATGAGAAATAAAAGAAAAAAAGAAACACAAAAACTTGCAACAACAACAACACAATTGAGCGCTGTAGTTTTTTACATAAATTAACAACAGCAACAAAAACAGCAAAACAGTTCCGCCCAACACGTAGCATCGATTTTGAAAATCAACAAAAGTAATGAATAAAAAAAAAACAACCACAAATGGAAAGGAAAAATTATTTTTTTGAATAAATGATTTTATATAGAAACAACCAACACCGATAGAAAATTCAACAACAGCAGCAAAGATGTAAGAACAATAAACCAAAACAGAAAACCATTCAAATGATGAAGTAATATCAAAGCAGCGGATATCAACAACAGAAGACAGCTTTCAATAACAACAACAACAACAAGTTATAAAAACCAACAACATTTTCAACAAAGCAAATTTACAACTCAACAACAACACACAGGCGCCTCCACAACGTACATATAGAATGTATTGTAATTGTAATTGTATTACTTTAAAGTGAAAAGCCTAGATCTATCAGATGCAACAAATACAACAAAAACAACAAAAAATCAACAACTAAACAGTAAATCATATATAGGAATTAGCACACACTTAATTGTAAAACAGTAAAGTAAGCAAAAACAAAGAGCATAAAAAGAAGAAAGAAAAAAAAAAACCAAAATGCGCTGTTGTAACAGAAACCACCAATGGGTAACGCTTTATAAATATACACAACTATATATATATATATCTAAATATATATATATATAAATGTATACCTAAATCTAAACTCTAAAAAGAGAAAAATATAATTCTAAATTTTTAAATGTAAAAGAACAATGATTTTCCAAAATTAATGTGTAACAAAAAAAATGAAAAGATTTATCTACTATCATCTACAACATGTGGCATCATATATACGTATATATATATATATATATAACTCTTAGTGAGAATATATATATATAAATATTGCATATGGCCATATTTTCTTGACCAACAGCAGAAACGCTAGCAGAACCAGCCAAAAACAAAATATATATCTTTTTACTACCGCAAAATGGCAAAAAAAAAAACAACAAGTTCTTCTTCATTCTCATGTCCATCATGGTAGCTGAGACAACTTTGGTAAATACAACAATAAGTTTTCTTTAACAAATGTTAAAATAATTAAAATTTTAATTTACCAAAGTTGCTTCCTGCTTACATGATGGACAAACCTCTTCTCAAACAAACTTGTAAAGTTATACATATAGCTAAAATCAAATCAATAACACTAAATAACAGATTACAGTGTTTTAATGTATGTATTTATGTGTCTGTGCCCAACAACAAAAAAAAAAGAAAAACAAAACAACAACATTAACCATTAGAAAAAATTAAGAGCAAGAGAGAGATTGGAGAATGTTGTATCTGTGTGTGAAACCAATTTAAATTTAACCCAATTCCAGGGGCACTTTTTTACATTCACATACAAAATTTACATTAAAAAGCGAATTAAATAGAATTAAGAGAGAGAAAAGGAAAAAAAATGTAAACACAAAACTTTAAAAACAATTTGTTATAGAATATCGATAAAATACCAAGCTTATCGATGTTCTAAATTTAATTAATGTACCACAAATTACTTTTAATCAGGCATAAGTAATAAGATATAACGGAAAGAGCAACAGGGCAGCCAGACAAAAAAATATAACTAAAATTTATGCAGTCTTTAGCCAAAGCTAACAATCTTTATGTGCGTTGCAAAACGCATGTGATTTGTTGTTATAAACTCTAGACCGTCGAGTTGAAGCATTTTTGCTTTCACTCTGATGCCAAATTTCTTTAAAAAAAATCAAAAATGAAATCCACGCAAAAATAATTATTTAAAAATTATATACAATCTAATTATAAACTCACAGATTTGATGTGGAAAGGAAATTTAAGTTCAGGTTTTAGTTACAAGATAGAAAAGGTAGAAAATCTTGATATATTGATACCGAACCGATATGATATCGGACCTTTTTCTCGATACCGGTTTTTATTTTAATTTTTTTTTTAAATCCTTTCATTTATGTTTTTTTTATTTTATCTCTTTTTTATATATAAATTGAAAACAAATCCTCAAATATGATATGAAATTGGACATTTTCTCTCCACTTTTTCTTGTTTTAACCATTTTTATTAAGTTTATTTTATTTTTCCCTCGATTATTGGACTATTCTTCTTAATATACACCAAAGCCTCGCTTTCTTTCTTGTTTCGCTGATTTTTTAAAATTTATTTTATGTTCGCCTGATATCAATGATGAATCAATATGATATCAGACTTTTCCTCTCGATATATAAATCCCTTTCCTTCTTTCTTGATTTATATTTATATTTTTACCGACACGCTACTTGGGCCATTCAGTTATTTGAATTGAAAATGTGAATTAAAAGTGTACCACCCATAAGGAATTGGGCTAATAATACCCATTTGAATTAGCGATATATATACATAAAAAAAGATATAAACCAAAACATCGTCGTAGACGTTGTGTAGAAAACAATGTGTGTGTAATAGTGCAATAAGCTAAACAATACTTATAACCACCTACCGCCTCTCAACACCCCACCCCCCATAAACTATTATTAACCCCAATCTGTTACAGAATTTCGTTTTTGTTTAAAAATTTAGATCTCCAAGTTAGGTTCTTAATTCGTTTCCATTTTCCGTGGGAAAGACATGCATGCGTATAAGACATATAAACATACACTTAATTAATATGTAGTAGTGCGTTTCATAGCCATAAGGCAAACAAAACATAAACTTCTGTGTGTGTGGGTAAAACTATTTCTTGCCTTAACGCCATTGAACGTACTGTACTGTTCTGTACTGTACGATTAACGATGAATAATGGAATCAAAGTCGAAAATAGAATCATTTTACGGTAGTAAAAAATCAGCAATCACACACATTAACGAACAGTGTTTAAAACAGCTTATTATAAAAACAAAACAAACAAAAAAATAAAAAATATTAATATACTAGAAACAATATAAAAATAAAACCGATTTAGAATTACAGAACATGAAAAAATAAACAACAAACAATTGTCGATTTAAGAGAAAAGAAAATTTAGAGAAAGAAAGAAAAAGAAAAACAACTAGAAAAGCAGTAAAACAAAACTAAATGTTATATTTTGGAGCATTTTTTCAATATGTATGTGTTAGAATAGATATATATATATATATGTATCTGGAAACAAAGGAGGAGGAGAATTGATAAAAGTATTAGGAAAAACGATATCTCTTGAACAATAAAGAAGGACAGAGACAGAGACAGCAAATCAGAAAAAGAGAGAGAAGGCGATATGAAAAAGAGATTTTTGTGACTTCTTTCTTTTACACTCTCCACTTAAATTTGCAAAGTTTTTTACCATCGGAGGGGAGACAATGAATATAAAACTATATATCATCTATCTATATATATATTTGTATACACCAACTAAAGAAAGAACGAGACAGAAAGCGAGAGAGAGAGAGATAGAGCGAGTGTAAAATGTTTAATATATTTTGTAAATACTTTAAAGAGACGATTTTTTTTTTAGTTTTTTGCTGCAAAGAAATTTGAGTTGTTTTTTTTAAATGAACATCAAATCAAAAGTTATTTTCACACAAGAAAAGTTACAAAAAGAAAAGAAAAACAAAAGAAATATATGCAATGCAAAACATGTAATCATTTCAAAGTCCAAAATCTAATGAAAACCTAGAGAATATAGTTAATATTTGTGTGAATTGTGCGTGTAAATGTGTTTGAATGTCTAAATGCTTTAGTCACATAAGCCGAAAGAGAAGATTGAACTTTGATATAATATTTAATATAATATAATATATATATTTAACTTGATTTCTTGACTTCTGCTACTAACCTATAAAAGCAAATGTAAAAAAATAATAATAGAGAATCGAAAGGAGCAGCAAACACACTTTTGAAGAATTAAAAATTAACTCTTAATTAGTTTTATGTTTCGTAATTTATGTTTTTTTTTCTCTCTTGAATAATTTCGGAACACTGAAAAATGTGTTTCCTTGCGCTTTTTTTTTAAATTACTCTTGTAAGTAGGCAAGTAATGCAAACATTGAACATAATACTTTTTGTGTGTAATTTGTAATTAAAGCCAGCAAAGTAGAAACAAGAAAACGTTTCATTTCATTATTTGTAAGCTTAACTTAACTAATTATTAGTTCTTAAATAACTTGTTTCTTTAAGTTGAAAACAAATCGGGAGTATTGCAAATTATAATTATCATTAAAATATATATATATATAATATCAAGTAAACAAAACAAAGGCGAAAACTCAACAAAAAAAGTATATTTATAGGAGAAGCAGACAACAAACACAACAAGAAAAGATTTAACAAAAAACAATAAACATTTTCAAACACGAAAACAACAAAAAAAAAACGAGAGAAAACCTTTTTAGCTGTAAATGTAACATGTAAAATTAATTTTAAATGAAATGCATACAAAAAAGAACAAAAAAAGAAATAAACAACAACAAAATCTAAAAAGTATGGCAAGAAATAATACAAATTATATATGAGGAATGATATATATATATATATTATATAAATGTAAATGTGTAAAGAAAACAGAAAATGCAAACAAAAAAAACAAACAAAATAATAAAAAAAATGATTTCAAAGAAAATATTTTAAAAAGCATTTTTAATATTCCCAAAAATTGTTCAAAGGATATATTTTAATCCTAGTAAATTTTTAAGGGAATAATATTAATATCTATCTAGCACCATTTGTCTTTGTTTTGGTGTTGCTCAACATATTCCTAGCAATTGTCAACAATTTCTTCTGCCCTTCGATCTGTTTATTTTAATTTTTTCATATATATATATGTATATATGTATATGTATATATATATATGTATATATATAGTCCACCGATTCGCCATGCTCCGACTTATATACTAGTAAAATTATGTAGAAGAATAACTCCATAGTTTCATTCAAATTGGTTGCTCCTAAATTTGTTCCAAAACAAATCTCGCACATCTTTGCATATGATTCCCAACTGGTTCTAACATCCCCGGAACGAAGTGACTTCTACCAACCAAGTTCCAGATACGTGTTGTGTTACAAAAGTTGCAAGTCATTGTTTATTAGTGCTTAAAGTTAATTACAGATCATAGTTACTTACTGTTCATATATACTTACTGGTCATACATATTTACTTGTCAGAGTTAATTACGTCTCATAGCTACATTCTGATCATAGATACTTACTGATCATAGGTACTTACTGTTCAGAGTTACTTACTGATCATAGATACTTACTGTTCAGAGTTAATTACTGCTCATAGTTACTTCCGCACATCTGTGCATATGATTCCCAACTTGTTCTAACATCCCCGGAACGAAGTGCCTTCTACCAGCCAAGTCTCGGATACGTGTTGTGTTACAAAAGTTGCAAGTCATTGTTTATTAGTGTTCAAAGTTAGTAGCCAATCATACATACATACTGGTCATACATACTTACTGGTCATACATACTTAATGTTCAGAGTTATTTACTGATCATAGTTACCTAATGTCCATTCATACTTTCTGATCAAAGTTACTTACTGGTCATAGATACTTACTGTTCAGAGTTACTTATTGTTGAAAGATACTTACTGATCCTCTAAACAACCGTTCCTCTGTCAGTTTTATTATATAGTATACCAACTTTCATAAAACTAAAGAAGAAATTCTTTAATAATAGAAGATACTTTTGAATAAAATTAAATAAAAATATGTTAAAAACTGTAAAAGTTATAGTTTTCATAAGTAAAACAGACATTTCCATTAAAAAAAATTCAAGGGGTTACATCGTTAAAATGTGCAAAAATTAAAAAAAAAAAAATATATATAATTTTAACCAGTGAAGGAGCCATTTCCGTTTTAAAGCAGAGATAAATAATAAAATAAAGAAACGGAATTGATTTTTTCCAGCAAGGAAAACTGATCATTTTCGTTCCATTAAGCCACCTAAAACCTAAATAAGGAAATATCTATAAATTATAATTATTTTATCAAACAGGCAATGCTTTGTGCTTTAATTTAGGAAATAAATTAATTAAAAGAGTGTCACTTTAATATAATGCCCGAAGCATTGCCTTTAAAACAATATAAATAAAATAGTTTAAAGATATTTATTTAATTAAATTTAATTAAATTAAATTTCCAATAATAACCATTAAATAAGGAGTAATCCTTACCACCATTATATTGTGATGAATAATTCCATTAATATTTAATAAGAACATCGACACGTTTTCTGGTTTTTGTTTGTTTTTATTTTTCATATTTTTCGGTTTGTTTCTGAGTCAAGCTAAACGTACACTCAATCGCTTAATCGCCATTATTTAACTCTCATAATAATAATTTATATTTATATATATATATATCAGTATATATATATTTATATAAAAAAATGCGGGTTGTTGCACAATTTTATTTTAGATACATGAGTGTGTGGTGTGTGTGTGAGGGAGGAAATTGTTTGCAAGTGTTCCAGCTGTGGTGACCGAGGCTCTTAGCATCTCTCTGTTTTTATTTTTTAGCAACAATTGAAAAGAAAGTAGGAGAGTGGAGAGGAAAATGCTTGATACAAAAGCCAAGAACCGTCCATCAATTGATTGCGTACATAACTTATATATTTAATAATAATAATAATAATTATCATAATAATAATAGCTTAAACAGTACAATACAGAATGCAGTTTTACAAAAGTAAACATTAGACAGAAGCAAAATAAAAATCAGGATTAATCGGTCCTAAATATATTTATATATATATAGTGGATGTGTGTTTCAGCATGAAAAAAATAACCATCGGTATAAGGAAAAACCTTTAGGTTTTGCTCGTTTTTCCCATATTTTTTTGTTTGTTTTTATAAATGTTTTCTATCTCTACTCATTTATTTTGCTTTCAGTTTAGAAAATTACAAAAATTGCATTAAAAATTTGTTTCGATTCACTTCTCGTTTTTTGTTTTTATTGTTTAATTAATAAATGGAGATATTTTTTTTGTTTTTCGTTATCGCTTTTCTTATGTTTTTTGTTTTATATTTTCTAGCATTTTAAGTGTTTCATTTTATGTTTTATATACTTTAAACTATTTTGTATATATTTAAATATACATACATATATTTAGATGTATTTATAAAAAGCTTTTCTGTGTGGTTTGTTTTGTATATCTTGCATTTTTCTATTTAATTTTAAATTATTACAAAAAAACGCAAAAAAAAATTTAAGAAAACGTATTTATATTTATAATTTGTTGCATTTAATATTTATGTTGCATACGAATTTTCGTGTGTGTTTTTTAGGCTTTGAATGCGTGAATACATTTTTAATAATTTTACGCTTTACTTTTTAGTTTTTGCAAAAACAAAAATAAAAGAAACTAAAAAAAGACGACAGGATTTTATAATTATTTTCTTTGTTGCCTAAATAATAACATATATATTTATTTATATTACAATGCAATTTTTAATTCTTGGATTAAGTGTGTGCAAGTTGAAGAGTTTTTTATTTTTGTTTTGTTGGGTGGCAAATATATAATTTTGATATTCTCTCTGCGTGTGAGTGTGTTTATGATCTGGCGCACTCTAAGTTAATTATTTATTAACATTTCGTACTTCTTTCCTCTTTCTTTCTATGTATTTTTTTTTAATTTTTCTTTTCTTTTTGTTTTATTTTATAATCATCTGTTTGTTGTTATCCGTGTGGCCGTTGTTGTTGTCGCTAGATGTTTTTTTGCTGCTGCAGTTGGTGTTTTTTTATATTTATCCTGCAAGTGTCCTTGTTTGTTGGTGTTATGTTGTTGTTGTTGTTGTTGGTGTTGTTGTATCCATCCTACAGCAGTTGGCAGCAATGAGAATTGGGCTTCGGCGGCTGTTTCACGTCCGTCTGACGTTGTTTTTTACGCGATGAAATATCCCTGATTAGATCATAAAATACCTAAATAAATTTAAAAAGAGATTTATTAGTATCGATATTTAATATTTTAGTTAAGCATTCTCATTTGTTAATATGATTTTTTTTTTGGGTGGGGGTGTTAAATTAGATTTACTATAAATCGTTTAAGATTTTGGAAAAATTTGTAAACCAAAGAATAAACAAGAGACCAAAAGCATATAGAAAATAAAGTGTAAAACCTGTGTGTTTTATAATAAATTATTAAAAAAAAAAAAAACCAATTCATTTATGACAAAGCAATTAATAGAAAATATGAATATTTTCCTTGTAATATTTTTATTTAATTAATTACTAAAATTTCTTCTTATTGAATTCATTCTTTAATAAGATTTATAAAACACACAGTTTTCTCTATATATTTGTTGTATTTTTATCTATATACACTAAAAGGAAAATATAAGTTTGTCTAGAAATAACAACCAAACCAAATAATTTAGTATAGAAAACAAGTTTTAGGAAACAATTCTGGCATTTAAGAAAATTAATTAATAAATAAATTTCCTTTAAATGAACTCCCACTTGATGTGAATCTTGTTTTTGTCGCAGTGTATGTACAGTGTGTGAGTGTAGTGTGTGTGTGTGTGTGGTGTTAGTATTAGCTTCACAAAAAGTTGTTTAAAGAAAGGTTTTACTAATTTTATATAGTAAAAATAAAAACACTTGATTCTTTCTGAAGAACAGCTCATGAAGTATTAATAAGTTAATTTTTTATATATAGTATATATATACATGTTAATATATATTTTACTTTTCTGATTAGCTTTCTTTGTTTTTTTTTACCAGTTTTTAATTAGATTATGTAGTATTTTTATACCCTTGCAGGGTATTATAATTTCAGTCAGAAGTTTGCAACGCAGTGAAGGAGTCACCTCCGACTATATAAAGTATATATATTCTTGATCAGGATCAACAGCCGAGTCGATCTAGACATGTCCGTCTGTCCGTTTCTACGCAAACTAGTCTCTCAGTTTTGAAGCTATCTGAATGAAACTTTGCAGTTAGTCTTCTATATACTCTTACTCGTATATATGTCGGAAGGGGCCGGATCGGACCACTATATCATATAGCTGCCATAGGAATGATCGAAAAATTTTTACAAAAAAAATTATAACATTTTCAGTTTTCAACAGAATGAAATCAAATTTGAGATATAGTCATTTTATATTTTTCTACAATTTTGTGTACAATTTTATGAAAATCGGACTAATATATCGTATAGCTCCCATAGGAAAGATCGATAAATTTGAGAGGAATAAGAATGGCAGTGGCTGTTGTAGGAAGACTGCAATCGCCGTGGCCATAACATTTTCAGTTTTCAACAGAATCTAATCAAATTTGAGATATAGTCATTTAATATTTTTCTACAATTTTGTGTAAAATTTTATGAAAATCGGACTAATATATCGTATAGCTCCCATAGAAAAGATCGAGAAATTTGAGAGGAATAAGAATGGCAGTGGCTGTTGTAGGAAGACTGCAATCGCCGTGGCCATAACATTTTCAGTTTTCAACAGAATGAAATCAAATTTGAGATATAGCCATTTAATATTTTTATACAATTTTGTGTAAAATTTTATGAAAATCGGGCTAATATATCGTATAGCTCCCATAGTAAATATCGAGAAATTTGAGAGGAATTAGAATGGCAGTGGCTGTTGTAGGAAGACTGACAATCGCCGTGGCGATAACATTTTCAGTTTTCAACAGAATGAAATCAAATTTGAGATATAGTCATTTTATATTTTTCTACAATTTTGTGTAAAATTTTATGAAAATCGGACTAATATATCGTATAGCTCCCATAGGAAAGATCGAGAAATTTGAGAGGAATGAGAATGGCAGTGGCTGTTATAGGAAGACTGACAATCGCCGTGGCGATAACATTTTCAGTTTTCAACAGAATGAAATCAAATTTGAGATATAGTCATTTTATATTTTTCTACAATTTTGTGTAAAATTTTATGAAAATCGGACTAATATTTCGTATAGCTCCCATAGTAAATATCGAGAAATTTGAGAGGAATAAGAATGGCAGTGGCTGTTGTAGGAAGACTGACAATCGCCGTGGCGATAACATTTTCAGTTTTCAACAGAATGTAATCAAATTTGAGATATAGTCATTTTATATTTTTCTACAATTTTGTGTAAAATTTTATGAAAATCGGACTAATATATCGTATAGCACCCATAGGAACGATCGAGAAATTAATACGGTTAAAAATTATAACTTTTTCTGTTTTCAACAGATTTTCATCAAATTTGAGACAGTCATTTAATAGTATTCTACAATTTTGTGTAAAGTTATAAAAAAACCGTACTGCTATATCATATAGGTGCCATACAAACGATCATTAGATGTGGAGCAAAAATGGAAATCTGTGAATGTAAAACTGAAAATGTAATATGTATGAAAGCAGGTATTACTTCATTGTTTTTTAACATAAATATATACAGTTTATATTGTATGGATTCCTAGTCATCGAAGTTCTATCTGCAAGGGTATATAAACTTCGGCGTGCCGAAGTTAGCTTTCTTTCTTATTATAAATTTATTTGAAGTTGAAATAATGCCAAGTTTCGGAGATACAGGAAAGTCAAAGTAATAATAATAATAGTAATATCATCGTCAAAAAGATACCATTATAATCTGGATAACAGTAGCTAGAGAAATCCCTTTCAACTCATATATTACATTACTAATTTTTGTATTTTTAAGGCATCTCATTACAATTAAAAAGTTGAGTTATTTAAATTTCAACAATAAAACTTTAACAGGAAAAAAGGCAACTTATTTATCCTAATCAATATGCAAAAAAAAAAAAAAATTAAATAGAAATCATATATATATGATTGAATTGTATACATTTTTAAATTTTGTGGGCGACTCATAAATTAAGCTTTAAAATTAGTATTGTTGGTAAGAAGTAACTATATTTTTGACCTTGAAAAGAATTACTACAAAAATTCGGTGTTAAACCTAGTGATATTATTAATTAAACGGCAAAATTAAACAATATTAAATAGATACATAAAAATATGAGTAAAAAAACCAAAGGAAACTCAGAGTTAGTAGCAAAAAGATATATATATATCATATATATATATAAAAGATAGATAGAGGGAAAGAGTAGTGCCAAAGCAATCAAAACAAAGCTTCAGTTCAAGCTAAGGGTTAGGGTTATTCGGGTGTCTCTACGGGTTATGTGTGTGTGTTCATACGGGTTTTTGTATTTATTTAATTGCAGATCGTATTTCGGATTTATATATATAGATATATAGTGGAAGGTTGTTGTATGCACCTAATGCCTAAAGTAGGGTACACTTAAGTCTCCGCTTCTTGCATCTATCTTTAGCACGCCCGCTCGTGGCTTTCGAATCTTCAGTTTTTCGTGACCTTATTTCGCGCATCAAATCAAAAAATACCTGTAAAATTGTGGATTGGGAATAAAGTCAGAATATACAGAGTCAGCAATCAGAGTTTTAGTCATAATCATAATCACTTATTCTTAATAAATCATTTACAAATAATAATAACAAAAAATCGAGTAGAAAACGCATACAACAACTACGGCTTGTGTGCGCTTTAAAGAGACAAGAGAGAAATGGTTCTTAGGGGTTTTTTAAATTAATAATAAAAATAACTAGCAAAAAACACTGAATAACTAAAAAAGATATATAAAAATAATAATAATGTATCTTTTAAAAGAAAACAACATTAAAAGCATTGTAAATTAGGCTAGGCTTTTCTTGGCAGTGCTTTTATTTTGTAGCCACGTGTAGGGTTATGTGTATCTGTAGATGTGTGTTTTGGGTTTGGGTTCTTGGTTCTTTAGGATAGACTTCTTTATTTAATAATCTTTTTTTAAAAGTTTTCCTAACTAAATACACAATAATTTTTAAATTTCTTGGTTTTAGTGATCTTTAAATGATATATTTAGTTTACAAGAAATCTTATTGTCAAACAAGTATGGAAATATATACGAACCCTAAAATATAGTGTTGGGAAATCAGTCTGATTTACTGAACTACTTTATTGTTTGGTTTGTTTATAAATAATTATGGTTTTATCTATCCCTTTTTTTCTGTGGCCTTGCAAGACACTTAGGTTTTGTTTTTTACTAAATTAATACTTTCCCCTTAGAAAGCGGAAAGAACTCAAAAGAGATTTGTAATTTTATTCAAAATTTAAATATCTTGTGAAGATGTCTGTCTAAAAAAAAAACAATCAAATAAATAATTCCCTACATATTTTTGTAAATTTGTTTAACTTAACCCTGAAATATTAAACCTACAAACTTAATTATTTAAAGAAGTGTATTGTTTTTCCCTTTTGTTGTTTGTATTTCTATTCAAACTTTTATAGGATCTGAAATTAATAACAATATATGTGTAGCCTGCAGGGGAAATAAATAAATAACTTAAACTAAATAATAAACAACCGCATAAAGAAAATATTTATGACACTTTAAGAAACGGTAAAGTGCAGTACATGTTTTTTAACTCTATAAATAGCTTGCCAATTATAAAATTTGGTAGTGTGTAGAGTAGAGTTGAAAAACGAATCGATGTTATCGATATTTTTGTAGAGAAATCGATTTTACTGATGATTTTTTATAGGTAAATCGATATTATCCATGATTTTGTATAGAAAAATCGATAATAACGATGTTTTTGTATAGAAAAATCTATATTGTTGATGTCTTGGTATAGAAAACCAGATTAAAATCGATAACAAGAATGTCTTCGATTTAAAATAGATAAACATCGATGATTTTTTCAGCTCTGGTGTAGAACAATAATGTTTTATCTCTGTTTTATTGGAGAATTTCACATTTTCCTCCGTCAAAAACAGACTGGGGAATCCTGTTAAGATGCATATTTTGTTTTGGGGGAAAATCTGTGATAATTACGGACTAACCTTGTCGACATTCTCACGCGTCTTTGCCGATGTCTCCACATAGGGCACCGCCCACTGTCCTGCCCTCGATTGGCATTCGCTCAGCGGCACCTTGCGTTTATCATTCAGATCGCATTTGTTGCCCACCAGCAGGAACGGTATGCTCTCATCATTCTTCACTCGCAATATTTGTTCTCTGTAAAATAAAAAGTAATTAAAATAAGTTTATATAAACAAGAGAGAAGAGAATAGATAACCTTACCTATTACAAAATAGTCATATTTAAAAGGGAGACAAGATTTATTGTCCTATCTTTTTGAATTATGTATAAACTGATTAATTGTTATCTCTTAAATTTGGGGTTGTTTATTAGTTATCTTACACGGTCGGCTAGTCAAAAATAATCACTAATTGCCAACTGTAGATTGCTTTGACAATTTATAGAAAGAAAATATGCCGGAAAAGGGCTTATAGATATGAGCTTATCAAGAAAAAAAGAGGTGACTCATTGAGTGTGTCACTTTACTTTGGATTGAGTCAATAAACAGATAGAGTTTCACTCAGAAGACAGACAGAAGAATAAACATAAATATTAGCTTGTATTTTAGATATCAATTAAACAATTTTAATTTTTCTGCTTGTGCAAATCTGTAAATTTCCATTGGGGGAGTTAAGTTTCTAGGTTTAGATGGTCTTTAAAAATTATTAACAGAAGAAACTGTAATACAAATTTTACCTTTTAAGGTTTAAACTATGATGGTTTAAAATTTATATAAATTTTAAATTTATGATGTAAAGAAACAAACAGAGCAAACTATCTTGATGTGCATTGTAAAATGCATAAGATTTGTTGTTGAAAACTTATAATTTTGACGCTAAAGCATTTTGGCGGACTCTTTGAAGCCAATTTTCAGTTTCATATTTACAAATTCAAAACATTTAACATTTAAGTTAAAAGAAATCTTAAATCACAATGAAATCCTCAAACAATTAAGCTTAGCAGGCTCGCTAAATATGAATAAACATTTATTACACCTTCTTATGGCAGAAAACCAGCCTTAAGACTTGTGTAGACTAATTAGCAGAACCAAATAATTATAAAAAAATATATATATATGCTAAAAGCACTAGATGGGGGGCAGGGGAGGGAAAACATAAACAACATAAAGCTTGTGTGTGTGTGAGAAAGAAAAACCGCGACACTTGTCAGCTTTGGAAACAAACAAACAAACCGGCGACGTGAGAGAAGAACCCTCGAGAGGCCACCAAGAAAACCCCCAAAGGGGAGAGAAAACCCCAAGAGGGGTGAGGAAAAATGGGGGAGAGGGAAAAGAGGAAAAGTGCGTCGCCGTCGCCGACGCTTGACACACTCACCTGAATTCCTGGGTAGCCTGGAAGCTTTCATCGTCTGTGATGGAAAAGACGCAGAGGAATCCCTCGCCGCTGCGAAAATAATTATCTCTGATTGCGGCATAATCCTCCTGGCCAGCCGTATCCAATATATCTATTTGTACTTCTTCGCCATCTAGCACAACCTGTAAAAAATTAGAAATAAATTATATAATCAGGTCGAATTCTTAAGCAAGCTAAACCTTAAGTATTTCAATTTAATAATCACTGTCTACAATAATTTATATATCGATAAATTGTGAGTTTCCTAATTTAAACAAACTTTAATACATTGAAAGGATTTAATTTATGATCTCTTAAGTTGAATGAGTGTTTATTATATCTAATTTCATTAAATAACCTCGGATAATCAAATATTAATATAGAAATGCACCTGCCAGTTACAGTTTTCATGATTTTCACGATTTTCTTGGTATTCAATTCGATAAATTCAGATGATTCATGATATTTCTATTACTATTACTCACCTTTTTCCTATAACTATCGGCCTTGGTGGGCTCATAGTCCTCAACAAACTCATCGTACATAAACTGCAATGTGAGGGCGGATTTTCCCACACCGCCGCTGCCCACCATAATGACCTTGTGGAGCGCCGGTCCGGCTGTCGGCTTCTTGCTCATTTTGATGGCGGGATCTGCACTCTGCTCACTCACTCGAACTGTAAAAAAGAAATAATATTGAATATATATAGAGAGCAATTTTAAACAAATAAATAGGTAAATTTTGGTGCTTCCTGTTTATATTTATATTTATGCAAAACCATTACGCATAAGGCCAAACCTTCAAAGCCAAAGCCATGATCGTTGGATCGAGGGATAATATCCCAAAAAAAAATTAAGGTAACAGCTGTCAATTTGGCAGTCAGCTCACGGGTTTCTCGATTGTTTCTTTTTTGGGGCAGAAAAGTTGCCATTGTTGTACTGCCGACTGTACTTTTTACCCTTTACAACAAGTACAGTACCCTCTCTTTTAGTTTAAATAATATAATAGTATTCAATAGGAACATAAAGGAGTTGTGGAAATGTGAAGACTATTTTATTTTAATCATAAATTATTATTACAATATTGTATTGTTATTGGTTATGAGGGAAAATATCGATACTGTATCGATATTTAATGCGAGACTCATTTTATATCGACAATTTTACGTAGCAATGGGTACTTTGTTTATTATATGTATATATCAGACTCATATAATTGAAAAAAATATACAAAATTAATTGAAATAAATATTTTTCAGACATTTTATGAGAACAACAAAAATATTGATAAATAAAATTAAATATTTAATAGTTTTGAGATAACGTATCTTCTCATCTTACGTTTCAATCGTTATTCTATAAGATATATGTATTTATTTGAAAATTTAATCCAAAAAACATATCTTTTCCTGACATTTTTCATAAATATTAATATTAAGCTTCAAATGCAATATTTTTCGATATTTAAAATTTTTGATCACATTTTTAACTATATTACAAAGTAATCAATTTTTGGATTGCTACATTTATTGTAATTTATTTTATTCAATCCTAGAGTATTCCCATTATCGTATATGCTTTCTGACTTGTGCCTTTCTGGCTTGGCTTTTCTTTATTTATTTATTTTTATTTTTTTGTTGCTTTGTTCGTGTCGCAAATGAAGCATAAAATGAAAAGTTCAATGAACTATTTACACATGCCAAAGGGGGCACAACAACAACAACAGCAACAACAACGAAAAGAGCAACAACATAAAGACGGATGGCTATATAGCAGCATAATGCAGGCCGTCGGGCCAAAATGACTATTGAGGTCCCCGCTTTTCCCTCCCTTTTTCCCATCCTTTTATTGTTGCTGTTTTGCAATTAGCTTTTTGTGACCATATTCCCCCCTCTTTGGGCCCTGCATCATCATCATCATCATCATCATCATCATCGATTGCCATAAATCGAAGGCATTGAAAATAACGCATTGAGGGAAGACATATATGTATATTTATCTACATTTATGTACCTAAAGTGCGGGTCAGTTGGTAAGAGAGACACGTGGCCATCTGGCCAAGGGCCAACTTCAGTAAATGCATTGCTTTGAGCCATTTCTGAAGGCATTTTCCTATCAATGCTTGATTAGCAAATCAACAAACTTCTGATGCAAGGTTACTTGTGTATTTAAATTACTCAAGATAACCACTAAATTGAATAGATACGACAAAAGGCCCTGCAAAATAATACTCTGCGGTGTAGACCACATTAACCACTAAACCAAATATTGGAAACTTTGCTAAATAAATAACAATGGGTATTGATCGAAATGCACCATTTATTTCATATAAATTAAGTTCTAATTCAAAGTTGTCACCTAATTGGATACATTAAAGTCTCAAAAACTGTGATCTAAAGTGGCTTCAGGCTAAATCAACTCGTCTGGTGATGCTTATTTAAAAATCATGCTCTTTGTGAGGTCGAAAAGGTTTTTTCCAGTCTATTTTGTATGTTTTTATATAAGACAAAATTATAAAAATAAAAATAGGATCAAGGAATAGTTATAAATCTTAGTTTAAATAATAATAAACCCAATACAAAACATTTTTAAATCGTATAAAACAAAACGATTTAATTTCATCAATGTTTCATTACATTTACCTATATATATTATTATAAATATTAAAACAACTTAAGCCAGCTTCATTATATGTAATTATTATTTAATTTTCTCATTTTTCTTTAACATTTAGCCTTGCCTTTTAATTTAACGCTGTCTGGAAACGTTTGAATAACATTTAATGAAATTGAGCAGGCAACAAGTCAGTCAGCTGGCTTGGCCTGACCACACTGCGTATGAGTAATCAACGTAATGTTGCAAACTCGAACTCGGGAAAGTGCAAAGGAAAAACATAAAAAAAAATAGCGGTCTAAAAAAAACACTTCCCACACCCAGTTTTCAGTCAATTGAATTGTCAAGAGTTAACACAAATAACAATTGCAATAACAACAACAATAACAACCACAACACCAACAAACACAACAACAACTACAATTACAACAACTCCAACAATGCCTGGAAATAACGGCAGATAACTTGTTCAATTGAATATTACTCATACGCAACGTTCTGCGAGCTTGGCATAAAAATATAGTGGGAAAAACCAGGTAAGAGAAAAATATTATGTTGTCGAAATAATTTTCAAATTTATTGTTTCATATTTTAAGATTTAACTTCTACTTTAGTTAAACCAAATCACTTTTTCTTGTTAGATTTAAGTTCAAGAATACAAAATAGTGCTTAACTAACAAATATTTACATGTTTTCATGACCTACTCATCCTCTTTCGTATAACTAGGTCACATTTATTTGATTCTAAACCCAAAAAAATTATGGCATTCCAACACACAGGCTATTAGGCTATATATTTCTGCTTCAAATGAATTATGGTTGTCGTTACGATTTGAAAGCTTTTATTTTTTTAATTTGCAATACGAAAAACTTGGCTGGAAGTTAACCATCGGGTTAAACGAGATATGGCTCCCATAGTCAGCGGTTACCGGTTTTTCTTTTTGAAAAACTAATTGGGAAGTCGAGAAATCGCATGAACCGCTAAATAACGCTAATAAAATTCACAACAAAAATTTAGGTTTATTTCTAAAAAATTTCTCTTGAACAATTTATTGTTGTGATAATAAATAATCGATTTTTGGTTTTCTTAAATCACAAAACTACCTTAAAACTGCTTGCAGAAATTCGCACAATAGAAAGAAATATGTAAAAAATTCGTTTTTCAAAAACCAAAATCGTAAAAACCCATTTAATTGTTATAATAAAAAAGAAGGCAAACAAAGCAGAACAGAATTTTAAATTTTTATCGCTTCGGTACCGCATAAAAAATAATTTCCCTCTAATTAAGTCTAGCGAAAAATAGAACAAGCTAAAGGAATGAAAATAAAAAGAAACTAAATGTACGTTCAGACAATACTATATTGGCAAGCCAAAATACATCGACATCGTTAAAAGAGACCCCCAGAAAATTGAGATTTCCAACAAAAAAAAAGAAATTTTCCAACTCGATTTGTTTGCGGAAACACGGGCAGAAAATTAAAAACAACTAAGAAACGTTTTCATGTGCAATGACGTCATTATCTAGTTGTTTATACTAGTAGGGGGAAGGGGGGAGGGAGGCACACACCTCCTCCCCCGGGAACTACACTTTTAACATTGTGCATAAATTAGACAAAAGTTTATTGTTTGAGTTTGGAACTAAAATGGAATTTTCGGGTTTCCTTTTTTAGGTTTGCTAAAATTAGGAATAGTATTTGTAGATTTTATTTACTAAATATTTCATAAAACATTTAATAAATAAATGTATTATATATATAAAATATATATCCTTAATTAATTGATGTATATAAAATATAATATAGGTATAATCAAATTATTAATTAATATATAATGTAATATTTATAAACCTTCTTTTATAAATGTCTAAAGAATTGGAGATGTTAAATCAATTGAAATTAAACCAATGAATTAAATGTTTCTTATTTATTTTTCATTATGTTTATATATATTATGTTATGTTCTTTATATATATTGTATTATACTATTTTCTTTTCTAAAAACCTATTTGTCTTTGTCAAAAAATTGTACTTCTTACAAATAATATTTCAAATGATTGCAAATAATTTCCTTTCTTTATTTTTTATGTGATTTTCTATTCCCTAAAGTATTTAGAACTAGGCATTTGTCTTTTAATACATCAAAGAAATATTGTTCTTTGCTATTTTTCTTATAGTAATTTTTCTATATTATTTATTGCTTAGGTAAAGCATAAAAAGGTATAGGCAGTCTTGACTAGATCAACTCGTCTGATGATGCTAATAAAAATATATCATTCTTAATGGGACAAAAAGGCTTCCCTGAGTTTGTAAATATTTATTTTATTTTAAATATCACAAAGCTTTAGTATATATTTATAAATGTGGTAGAATAATTATTTTTTGTTTAATTTTTTCTTTTAGAAAATATAGTAAAATAAATAATATGAAATCTAATAGAATTTCCCTATGCAAATATGCTAGTGATAGTAAAAGATATTATTATATCTAAAATCTCTCATTCTGTTTTCTTTTTAACTAAAATATTCCCCCGTTCACAACAAATGTTTCCGTTTTTAGCTTAAATATATAAACTACCATTTCGAATTATACACTTTTTTTTACCCATGGGCTAATAATTTAATTTGAATAATCGAAACGGGAGCCAAGCTAAATAACAGTTTGGTCGATATTTATTTGGTTCCAAATGATTTTGAACAGACCCCAAAAATCGACGATCGAGAATTTATGAAGTTTTGTAGCAATTCTTCTCTGACTGATATATATATAAAGATATATATACATTTAGGTTTTTCAAAAATCACTGGGCTCCGTTGGGCGTCCGATTTGTTTATTACTCATTCATGGTTTTTCGCCTTTTGCCAATTGTTTGATTTGATTTTACCTTTTTCTATTTTCCTTTTTTAGTTTTTTTCGCCCCTTTTAATTTTCTTTACTGTTTTTCCTCCCCCAGTTTTTCTTTTATTTTTCGGTGGTGGTTTGCCCACTGACGTCATCTTGTGGCTGTTTTTGTTTTTCAGCTTCTCCTTATTCGGTTTAATTTTTCCAAGCCTTTTCATGATCTTTAG